TCTCATTTTCCTTCTGTGAAGCAGCTGGTGGGTTTGAACTGCTAACCTTCTGATTAGCAGCCAAATGTCTTACCCACTATGCCACCAGAGCTTCTTCATTGTGCTACCATGGCTCCTACAATACCATTACCACACCTAAAATATTTGTAATTATTCCTTAATGTTGTCACATATCCAATCAGTTTTCAGATTTTGTCAGTTGTCTCATAAGTGGTTTTTTAGAATTGATTTGTTAGAATCAGGATCTAACCAAGTTCCTAATATTATACTTGGTTGTTAACATTTGTTTAAATCAAAACCAAATCCACTGCTATGGAGCCAATTATGACTCATAGCAACCCTATAGGACAGAGTAGAACTGCCTCAGAAGAGTTTCCAAAGCTGTAAATCTTTACAGAAGTAACCTGTCTCATCTTCCTCCCAAGGATCAGCTGGTGGGTTCCAACTGCTGACCTTTTGGTTAGCAGCTGAATGCTTTAACCACTGCACCACTAGAGCTTCTTTATGTCTCTTAAGTGTCTTTTAATTTATAGGTTATAGAATCTTTCTCTTCTCCCCGACCCCTACAATTTATTAAAGAAAGCTACATTCTGAATTTTACTGATACCATCTCTATGATATTTAACATGTTTCTCTGTTCACTATTTCTTACAAACCAGTAGTTGAATCTAGAGGCTTGATGGGATTTCTGGTTTAATTTTTTTTTTTTTTTTTTGATGGGGGAGTGGTTGTGGCCAGAAAATGTTACGGTGGCATTGGCTCCTTTCTGTTGCATCACATCAGGAGTCACAGGATGTCTGCTTGTCTGTGTGTTAGTTGATATTAGGATTGATCAGTGGTTCAGAGTTGCAGCCTGATCTATTTGTTAAAAAGTTCCCCATCATGTTAAAGATTTTAGCAGCCATTGATCATCATTGTTCAGATTCATTATTTTTTTAGGGATTGTACAATGATGATACTCTAATTGTATTATCTCTCATTTTTAGTGAGAATATGTTCTAGGAGATGAAAGTTAAAGTTGAAAGGATCAGCTATATCTAGACATCTCTAGATGTGTTTTGCAGAAATCTTTTGTGGAAGGGCAACACTGTAGTCAAACAAACTTAAAATATACACACTGTATCTTCTTTTTAGAGAGCTGTAATGCATAACATCTTAAAGAATTTCTGTAGTAAATAAATCTGCAACTTTCATTAACTTAAGATTCAGTGGTTAAATTCAGGAAACTTACTGTTGAGTCATACCAATTTGAATTTGTCCACTTGAATACCCTGCGGTTACCATGCCATTATCAGCATGTCTAAAAATGGAATCAGTTATATCGCCTCAAAATAGCTCCCTGTAGATTTTCCTTTGCTTTCTGCCTTTTTGTTACTAGGATCATGTTTTTTTAATTTTGTTTTTGGTTTTTGAGTCAGAAATCCCACTTACCAGCGGCTTAAATCTCAGAGACATTCACTGTTGGTAGCTCAGAACTGGTTTAGCAGCTTATTAGGGTCACTGGGGACCCAGCCTTTTTACAAACATTTGTTCCATCATTTAATGTGTTGACTTTTGGTCTTTGTTGTCTCATGGTTGGGGAAAAACAGGATTTTGCTAGACATGAAATAGTATCTGCCAATATCGATCTTCATTCTTCCCTTTCCCTCTACTGCCACATTTGATTACCAAGATCTGTTCTTTTGTTTTGTCTTAGATTTGCCCTTTTCATTCTCTGCTACCACTTTGGTCCAAGCCTTTCTCAAGTCATAATCCTATTCCATGATAATTTAATGTTTTCCTGCTTATAATAATGTCACAGTCTAACCTTTACTCATATAAAATTCTACTTTACATATGGCACTCCTTTAATTAAAATAGCTTCCCGTTGTTTATATGTTAAAGTCTAGAGCCCTAGATCTGGTGTCAAAAGTTTTCCACAACATGGCTTCTACCATGTGTTGCCATCCTTATCTCCTTCATTACCTGTGGAATACTCACCATAATTTTTTAGCTCATTGTATACATTCCTGTCTTCAAAGGCTTATGTTATATCTTGTCTAGCAAAGCCAGTGCAAGTTTTCTTTCTTACTTTGAAGCTTATCTGTAGGAACAGCACTCTATATAGCACAGTTATGTTTTGTGGATAATGCATGTTTTGACTTTCTGACATACATTATTTTTACTTCTCTTTCATACTCCTACAAATAATAAAATTTCAATAAAAGCTTTATTTTGAAGACCTCTGCTTTGTGTCTTTCATTTATATTCTTTTTATACATGGAGTCACCATGAATTGCAATCAACTCAACAACAATTTTTTTTCCTTCATATATATTCAGATTTTAGGAAATTGACTATTTTGGAAATATGTACCATATACATACAAAATGGAAATTGTACCATATTTTGTAGGTATTGGTTTTATAGGGACTGTATTAGAGATAGTCTCTTATTATGTATGGTATGTATGTTTGCTATAGATTATTTGTGAAATTTTCTTCCCTACGAATCTGGAATTTTCTGTACAGAAATATCCATTTAACTCTCAGGTCACCAGTTCAAACAAAAGGAACACAACATCCCTTATGATCTAAGAGCTTGAAGGAAGGTGAAGAAGAGTTGATGATATTTCTTTGTACTTTTTTACCATTTCTAATTTACTAGACATAATACTCTGCTAGGATAATATTCTACTTCAATTTTAAGTATAATTTCTAGTCACCTTCATTGTAATGGAGTTTAACTACAGTGGAGCAATTTGGAAGCTTTGTTTAGTTTTTAATTTTTTTTTTCTAATCATTTTTAGCATATTGTGAAATTTTAAGACTGTTCTCAATTATCAAGCATTTTGAATAGGTAGAAAAGTATAGAAAAGAATATATAGGTACTGAGATTAATTAGATATTAACCTATTGTCATAATTGTTCTAGAGTTTCTTTCAATAAAAGAACTAAAGCTTAGCCCCATTCCTCCTACTGTTCTTTTTTCCCTCTGCAGGGGTTACCCTTATCCTGAAAGTCATGTAGCATACCTATGTTTATACTTCTACTACATATAAACAATATGTATGTAATTATTTTAGGGTGTTGAAATTTTATATAAATGATTTTATATCATATGGATCCTTTTGAAACTTGCCCTATTCACTTACTGTTTTTGAGTTTTTCCCATGTTACTAATGTAGACTAGTCTCATTCATTTCTAACTGCTGTTAAGATTTCATAGTATGATTAAAAGGCACCCTGGTGGCACAGTGTTTAAGTCCTCAGCTACTACTGAAACACTCAGTGGTTAGAACCTACTAGCCACACCTCAAGGGAAAAGACCTGGTGAATCTGTTCTCATAAAGATTAGGAAACCCTGTGGGGCAGTTCTACTCTGTCCTGTGGGTCTCCATGAGTCAGAATTGACTCCACGGCACACAGCAACAACATTGTGATTAAACCACAGTTTACTCATCTGTTTCTTTGCTGAGGTACCATTAAATGTTTTATGTTTGCCATTGGTTCAGAAATTGTTGCAGTGAACTTTCTTACATGTGTCTCTTTGTACACATGTGCTAGAATTTCTTTAGGATCCATTTCTAGGAGGGGAATTCCTGGGTCATAGAGTTTGCAGTTCTTCAGCATTACTAGTCGATTAAGAATTGCCCACCAGTGGTTGATCCAGTTCAAACTCCCACCAGGAATTTGAATTCGTATTTTTTCACTTATCAAAACTTTGTTATCAAATTTATAAATTTTTGTCACTCTGTTGGATATATTTTGACAACTAGTATAGTTGAACATCATTTATATGTTTGTGGGTCATTTGGATTTCTTCCTCTTGAATTTCTGGTTCATATTTTTTCCTCTTTTCTGTATTATTATTATTATTATTTTAATCAATATTTAGGAATATTATATACTGGATACCAATACTTGATTTTATGGATTCCTAATTTCATCCTCTAGTCTTTGGCTTGTCTTTTGCTTTGTAAATAATGATGTTGTAAAAGGATTTAAATTAAAAATACATTTTTTTCTCCAGTAGTTGTATTATTTGTGTCTTTAAAAAGAAATACAGTCCACTTGGGTTAAAAAAATTCTCTTATGTTTTCTTTTAAAAAATTTAAAGTTTTGCTTTTTTCATTTAAGTCTATCTGGAATTTATTTTTAAATGTAGCATGAGATTGAGATCTAATTTTGTCTTTTTCAATATTAGATTGAGATCTATTACAGTATTTTTCAATAATTTTATTCAAAATTATCTTTTTCCTATTGAAGTCACTTTTTCTCCATTGATCTATACTGCCACATCTGTCACATACCAACTTCCCCTATGTGTCCTGAACTGTATGTTGTATTAGTCTGCTTCTTGCAATAATATTACACTATTGTTGTTGTTATATGCC